GTGATAGAGGACGAACTAAGAGTTAAAATGGAAAAGTTTCCCTTTCTTACGTTTTAGGTACTACCAGCTCTATCCTGTGAAATATCCAACACCAGTAAGACTCACCTGTGTAACCTATATACAGTAACAACAAACCAGTTTGAATAATATTTGTGGCATTAATTTTTATCAGGGAGTCGTAAAGGTTCTGAGAGACTCATTATTTCTGAGTGGACTCATTGATATTCTGCTCAGTGAGTCCCGGGACTCAGACAGTTGAATTTGTAGATTTATCACTGGATTAGTAGGTTCAGGTGAGGTGAGGTGAGGTGAAATTGGGTTTAACGTCGTGCTTGAGAATATTTCGCTCATATGGCGACGTGCATGCGTGTGTTTGTGTATGTGCGGCTGCTTGTACTAGCCCAGACTGATGCTGGTTTTATAGTGCTAGCTCACTGAGATACCATGCCGCAGTGAAGCATGAATACCCCATTCAGACTCCGAGCCGACCGGTCCTTGTTGTACCCATTAATGCCGAGCTCCTGGCAAGGACCAACAAGTACCATATTTTAACGTCTTTTGATATGACGCGGTCAGGGATCGAACCCGCGACCTTCCGCTCTCAGGGTGGACGCTCTAACCACTATACCACGGAGGCGGTCTAGTAGGTTCAGTACAGCATAAGGTTCAAGCATTAGCTAGCAATCAATGTTTTTAACAAAGGATAACATCCAATAACTGCTTAGAAGGTGAATATAGTTTTAAACCACTTTATGGAATATTTATGCAATATTCCAGGAACATCTGACATCATGGGTGGAAGGAAACAAGAAACGGGCTTTACATATTGATATGGGAAACAGACAACTGCATGCCTTTCAAATTAAAATTTACCAATTGATATTTTTTAGTGTTGTGGTGAGGGACATTTGGAACGTGCTATGTGGAAATGACATTGATATGTTTGCATCAGCCAAGTCACAGAGCCTCACTACCAGACCCTGACTACTCTTCCTTTGACACACCCGTGAAGATCCGGGTTAGAATAATGATGCTTGTCATAAGAGGCGACTAAAGGGATCGGGTGGTCAGGCTCGTTGATTCGCTTACATGTCATCTGTTCCCAATTCCGCAGATCAATGCTGGATCACTGGATTGTCGGGTCTAGACTCGATTATTTACAGACCGCCGCCATATAGCTGGAATATTGCTGAGTGCTGCGTAAAACTAAACTCACTCACTCTTCCTTTGACAAGGGGCGGTGGGGTAGCCTAGTGGTCAAAGCGTTGGCTCGCCACGCCTAAGACCCGGGTTCGAATCCCCACATGGGTACAATGTGTGAAGCCCATTTCTGGTGTCCCCTGCCGTGATGTTGCTGGAATATTGCTAAAAGCGGCGTAAAACCAAACTCAGTCAGTCAGTCCTTTGACAAGCAATAGACTGATGCATATCTGTTTGAAGGTAACATAAAATCCCTCAATCCAACCACACCCTCTCATACCATGTTTAAATCGGTTAGCAATAATATTTGGGACACATTCTAACATTAGTCCCAATCCAGTCACGTGGTAAGCTGTGCACCGTGCACTGATGCATTTGAGATACACTGATTACAAAATTGGGTCTTTACTAGGGCTGCAACGAATACACAATGTGGTGAATGTGATATGATCGCAAATATTGGGTAACGAATACGAATAATTAAATAAATTATTCACAAATACAACATTGTAGTTAAGTGATTGATGCACAATATGGAACGTCCATGTTGACAGTGGTAATTTGCAATAACTAGTGATCTTATGACACTCAAATTTGGTATGTAATAATTATAGTCGACAGTACCATGTGAAGCCTTGGTAAACTAACAAGACAGGCTAGTACAAATTCCATTCTCAGAGATGCCAACCCTGAATCTAAGAAAAACGGAGTCATGACTGGCTGAAAGCCAGGCCTGAGCACCAAAGGTGAGCGCGTGGTCGGCTCTGCCATTTTGTTTCACTTTCATACGGACTATGACATGCATTCGGAAAAACTTTGTGAAACTTCATCATCAATATACACAATCAACACCCAAAAGATCACACGCTAAGCTTCTGAATGCTCTTACCAGAGTAAATCACCGGTGACTTACAAAATTGTATACTGTAAAAATAAATTCAGATTTTTTTCTCAAATATCAGAGTTTTTTAAAGAGAAATCGGAGAGCAGATTTTGTATTTGAATATTGGAGTAACTCTGCCAAAATCGGAGTTGTTGGCATCTCTGCATTCTTGCATATGTCACTTTGAAAAAGGATATAAGGGTTCGAGAAATACAGGCTCCCTTAAAAAAAGGTATATTCGTTGATATTCGGTTCTGCTGACCATGAATAACGAATTGAATTCATGAAGGGCTACAGTTCGATTCACCGAATATGCGAGTGAATCATAATAGCCTTAATCTTTACAGTCCATGGTAATAAACATCCTTATCAAAATGTAGAAAAATCATCCATATCAAGAAGTAGACAAATCATCTGTTTGAGGGGCATGTAAAATCCCTCAATGTACCCACAAAATATCATAACTTTAAATTTGTCATTAACTGTAATAAAGTGTGAGTCCAGTCATCCCAGAATTCCCACATTCACTGACACAGTAAGACAAAAGGGGGCCTACACTGAGGCTTCCATTCTACAGGTCCAGGGTAGTGTCAGATTAGCTCTCCAAACACAAAAATACAGACAACCTAACTCTGACAGAACAGCACTGCTAAACAACAGGGGCCATTTCACAAAGATATCTTAACGCTACGACTGTCGTGAGTGTATGTTACAGTATAGGAGGTACGGCAGTCTGTGTTTAGAAAAAAAGTCCTCGAAAAAAGTATTAAATTTGCCTAGGAAAAAAAGTCCTCCGAAAAAGTCCTACTTTTATTTTTTTTATAACAAATGTTAAGGAAAAAACTTGGATATTTGGGTTTTTAATACTTTTTTCACATGCAACAATGTCAATTTACAAAAATACATTTGCAGGACTTTTAATTTTTTAAATACTTTATTCACATAAGCACTTTCACATACAACAATGTAAACTGATATAAATTTGCACCTGCACTGATACATTTGCAGGACTTTTTAATTTTTTAATACTTTATTCACAAGGCAACTTTCACATTGTACTGTAAATTGACAATTAACAATTTGCAAGACTTTGCTAACATTTACTGAGTTTTATGCAGTGCAAGACTTTGCTAACATTTACTGAGTTTTATGCAGTCTAATAATGGTGGCCACACCATGGAGAAACAGTACTCCACAAGCCAGTTTGTTAAAACAATCTTGTTGTGAACACTAATTATTCTTTGATTCAAGCAGCTAAAATCACATTTTGACAAACAGAACTCAAGCAAAATCCTTGATTAGATCTGTCCGGTTAAAATATCATTGTTCCTTGTTAACTCAGTATTTAATCCATGTCTTTTATACACAATCACTTTGTTTTCTCTACAATAACTTTGATGTCAACATCCATTTAATCTGTTTTCACAATAATAAGACTTTTTTTCCCGGAGCACCTTTTTTCCGGTACTTTTTTACCAAGGACTTTATTTCCTATAATCCGGCAGTCGTAGTGCTATGATAGCTTTGTAAAATGGGGCCCAGGAAATCTGCAACAGACTAAGTTCATGCTGTTTCCCTCTTTGTACATATCTAAGACCTGTATCATATTTGAATATTCTTGTTCTAACAAGATGTTGTAAACTGATGGTATGGCTGTAACATTGACTGTTATGAAATGTGTTATGTTTAATGAAAATGCATTATTCAATATGTATTTGTTAAATAAAATCAAACAAACAGTGAACTCTACAAATTATTTTTTAATATTTCAAAGGTGAGGATTGGCAGATTAACAGGTGGGGGATAAGCAGATGCATCGACCAACAAAGTTCAGTGTACTAGAATTTGTACTTTACTGAGAAAGTGCAATAACAAATATAACGCATATTGCATTTCTAAAAGGCATTACGTATTCATAGTTTACTTAGTAATTTTTACAAATACATTTTTGAAAGATATATAACTATTTGGACCTTCAAGATGTGTAAATTGGCTGTCAATTAACTTTCATTTGAAACTAACACCAATCAGCTGACCAGCAATAGATATTGCTGAGATGAATAGCCCAAGGCAATCAGGGTGAATAGCCCGAGGTAATTAAGGGTGCTGCCAGACTTATTGACAATAGATGTAATTATGTGGTGTGGTTATTAGCGTAATGTTTTCACAGTTGGATTATTGTCATTTAGCCGTGTTTACACTGATACTTCCCAAATTAAAAGAGGTATTATCATGAAGTAGATCCTGGGGTTTATGGTCAAATTCTTTGTACGTTGTGTTGTTTTAAGGGATTAAAACAGTGGTTGCTGCAAATTTGAAATATTTTTAATTAGAAACTAAAATAGGACGTTTAATTAGATCAGTTCACTAAAAACGTATGAAGAGATATGTAGTGATGTCCAGGTCTTGCAAAATTTGCTTACCTATTGGATTAATCTATCAAATTAATCATATTACAATACTTGTTAAACGATTACATGGATTTATAGCATCTATTAGAATATTCATTCGTAGGGAGGTCATCAATTTTGTACACATGTAATAGGGAGGGTCATACACACCCCAGCCATAAATTATGAACGGTCCCTAAATTCATAAATGATCTCTGATGTATCAAGCCTACCTAGGCTCATGTCGTGGTGATCACAAATCCTAGTCTGCTAGTATCGTCTTCAGACGACGTCTGTTATCAACATGATCAGTGTCATCTTATTGACTTCAGTATCTACATATTGTGAATGGAGCTGGGTTCTTTGAATCTGACATACACACTGTATATTGCCGTTATCTCTTGGTCAATCAAAATATAATGTAAAGTACTTGACACCAGTTTGTTTACCTTGAATCTCCCGCCATTGATGTCATGTTCGATGACCCTGCTGTGAGCGGCCCATGTCGCTTAGAACGTCAACAATACAGGGGGAGGCAACTCTGTCGGGCACCTGCCAAGTCAGAGACTGACACTCGGAGGAGCGCAACATGAACAAACTTAACTCTCTTTCGATTGGAATATTCTTGTCAATATTTGGCAGTATATTGTTTGAAAACATAGCTGAAGGTAAGTAGTTAAAATATAAACTTTTTCATGGTTGTTTCGGTCGTCAACCTGTGAATCAAAAATCATATAGTTGATCTTTATGAACTAAATCAGGTGATGTGTCTTGCGATGAAGAATGAGTTAACCAAAATGAATGGTTAGGACAAATTCGAGTTATTACAATGATTACATCCCCAGCAACGTTTTCAGTGCTTTCGGAAAACTTAGAGAATAAGGATAGTGGGGTAATAATGGCATCGAAAGAACAATTTAATTTGCCTTTTCAGTGACGTAGATTGTAGCTTGTATTATGTGAAACTCTTCGGTAAAAATGTTGTTTTGAAAAGAAAATGAGGTAAACCTTATTCCCAGTGAAACTTTCGTCAAAAATTGACATATGATTTCATTACAGCATGTTGACATGTTAAAGTTCATTTGTCAAGAATAGTGAATATTTTTACCAATGGGATGAATATGACCACAGACCATATATAAAAAAGGTCTCTGATATGACCAATACATAATGAAAAAAGGAACAGCTATAGAACATGTTTGTCACTAATTTCATTCAAGGATTGTTCGGCTAATGATGGCGTTTTTGGTAACTAACCATTAATGGGGCTGGTCATTAATATTTGACAGGTTGGCCTGGACTGAAGTACCATTAATGAAAGGGAAAATGTTCATCTTTCCAGGAAATTTCCTCATATCAAGCTGTAGAAAGTCCAGTTCCACAAACATGACATGCTCACATTCATCTTGCATGCAATCCATCTGTGCAACAGTGTAAATAATGATCTGAGAGCACCCAATTATGCTTCTTAACTACAGTGAAATTAGTAGGGATATTTTAAAACGTAAACATGTTCGAAGTGTATGATGACTCCCCCCAAAAGAGTCAGCAAAATACATTCCAGCTAATGTTTAATTAGGTGATCAACATTGAACAATTATTTGTGTTTGCGTATCAGCATGTGAGATAAAAAAATAACAATAATAAACAAATTTATTGATAAAATATGAATTCTTAATTGAATTTCATTTATGGCTTCTTTTTAAAAACAGGAAAAAAATAAGGTGATTGTTTTCACTTTGGGTGAGTGAGCTTCCTGATTGGTTAAATTGTATTTGTCATAAGTTATCATGGCTATTATTTCTTATAAAGCAAACCAAACATTTTGATCTTCATACTCATCATTTGTTCACATGGTAGATGGTGTAAAGTATAGGCTGTCTGGACCTGTATAAGATGAATTGGTATTTTGATGTGTCTGCTGCTATTTTAGCTCACAACACATGCACGCAAGCATGCACACACACACACACGTGCGTGCGCGCGCACGCACACACACATAGAGAGAGAGATGCACTCACAGAGAGACAGAAAGCAAGAAAGAGAGAGGGTGAAAAAGAAGAGAGAGAGAAGAGTTGTGCACACACACAACCACACACTTACACATAGGTGCACACACACTACACACAGACACATACACAGACAGACATGATGAGAAAGAGTTTAGATTATTAGGAATGCCAAGTCTTAAATGCGATAAAGAAATTCCTTTCTGAGATCAAATTAAATCATCACCATGCAATTGTTATAGATTTTCAGGTCTCTTCATAACGATCAACTCGAAGCTTGATTCCTTTGAAACCATCTCAATAGAAACCAGTAGATGCAGCAGGTGCTTGGCATCTGCCTCCCAATATTTACATATATTGACCTGCCCTGAACAAACTATTGATCCTACAGTCATAGCATGAAGGACTTCAAACAAATTCAGTTACATTGTTGTGTCAATTTGATTATTTTATGTCCAAGTAAAATCACCATATATATACTACCATCAAAAGTTTAGACTCACTAGTGTAAATGTAGCCACTTACTTCTGTCAACTGTTCTAAACTAGATTTTGCTAAATATTCCATAATGTTTAAAGGTACTGTTTACACATGAACTGATGTATTGTAAAACAAATTAGTAACGTTGACAAAAGTATTTTCATGAGTTCAATAAATGATGAAACTCAGTGAAAATTGGCAAATTCTTAACAAAACTGTACACAAAAACGAAGCCGTTCATTTGCATGATATTTGCACATGCTTTTCAGAAAACTGATTGATGATCCTCGTGCAATTCATCTGCATAATGTTTGCAGATGGTTCCCCTAAGTTAGTGGAGTAACTCATCTTCGATGTAACCGTATACATATACATAACATATAGTGAGTACTTTAAGTGAGTCTAAACTTTTGATTATTTTCTGTCCTAGTAAAATCACCATATATGTATGATATTATATTTTCACCAGAACCTATCTTGATTGATTCTGCGTTACTTGTGTTAAAGTATTACTGTGATATAGGGAGCAGGTGGTCAATTGTTTACATGTTATAGCCTTGTGGAAAACTGTCAATATAGATAGGTTACATTATACATGTTAAATGATGTTTAACAAGCAGTGGATTGTTTCAAACAAGCAAGTGATTGAGATATATTTTCTGTTTGTGAAGAATTAAACAGTTGTTTTTGTCAATTTAGAATAATGATATTGTTGATTTTGTTTGACTTAGCATCTCCTGTCAACCCATCGATAGAAAAGAGAGATTTTGGGAACGATGACTTCAAAGGTCAACTACCTGTTGAAAATAGAGAAGAATGGGCAAGATTAGCGAACACTGGGTTAGAACAAGATAAAGTAGGAAAGGAACTGGATGAACTTGAGGATGAGAAGAGGAAGGGACCAGCAGAAGGGTATGATGGGGATGAAAGGATGAGAGGAGGCTTGATGGAAGGTAGAGAGGGAGTGAGTTCCAAGTCAGCCCAGGTTGACGAACTGCTGCCATCCAGGATACAAGAAGGAGTTGGGGAAAATAGTGAGGGTGCCAATCATCAAGATGGCAGCCAGGCAGATCCTGGCCAGGATCAGCAGGTGGACATTCATGACAACTCTAGAGATGTCCCACACAACCAGGAACAGCATTCAGATAGTGTTCCTGGACAGAATGTACAGGACTTAAACCGTGCATTGATTCCATCCAGCAGCCTCAAGCCTCAAGCTCAACAAACTGTTCAAAGTGCAAACCAAAACCGTGACCAGTACTCAAATCAGCAGCCTTTGTCAAACCAAGGTTCAGACCAACAACTCCTGCTGCATGGTCCTGACCAACAACTGCCTCTTCAGCAGGGTTCAAACCAACAACTGCCACTTCAAGAGGGTTCAAACCAACAACTGTCACTTCAAGAGGGTTCAAACCAACAACTCCCTCTTGAGAAGGGTTCAAACCAACAACTGCCACTTCAGCAGGGTTCAAACCAACAACTCCCTCTTCAGCAGGGTTCAAACCAACAACTGCCACTTCAGCAGGGTTCAAACCAACAACTTCCTCTTCGAGCAGGGTTCAAACCAACAACTGCCACTTCAGCAGGGTTCAAACCAACAACTCCCTCTTGAGAAGGGTTCAAACCAACAACTGCCACTTCAGCAGGGTTCAAACCAACAACTGCCACTTCAGCAGGGTTCAAACCAACAACTCCCACTTCAGCAGGGTTCAAACCAACAACTGCCACTTCAGCAGGGTTCAAACCAACAACTCCCTCTTCAGCAGGGTTCAAACCAACAACTGCCACTTCAGCAGGGTTCAAACCAACAACTTCCACTTCAGCAGGGTTCAAACCAACAACTGCCACTTCAGCAGGGTTCAAACCAACAACTTCCACTTCAGCAGGGTTCAAACCAACAACTTCCACTTCAGCAGGGTTCAAACCAACAACTTCCACTTCAGCAGGGTTCAAACCAACAACTGCCACTTCAGCAGGGTTCAAACCAACAACTCCCACTTCAGCAGGGTTCAAACCAACAACTACTACCTCAGGACTCAAACCAACAAGTACCACTTCAGCATAGTGTAGACCAATCGGCACAAACACATTATGTTTCAAACCAACAACTCCCACTTCAAGAGGGTTCAAACCAACAACTGCCACTTCAGCAGGGTTCAAACCAACAACTGCCACTTCAGCAGGGTTCAAACCAACAACCCCCACTTCATCATAGTGTAGACCAATCAGCGCAAACACGTTATGTTTCAAACCAACATCTGCCACCTCTCCAGGGTTCTGACAAAGTTGCTGAAGACCAACAGGCTCATCATGGTAATGATCAACAATCCCAGGGGGAAATCACTAGGGGAAACCAGAGAGAAGCCAGTCCAAACCAGAATCAAGAGTTAGACAAAACACAAAACACAAATTCAAACTCGAACCCAAACCAAAAATCCTACCTGCAGCAGGTAATTCAAAACCAAATTCAGTCAGAGGTTCTCCTGAAAGACAGAACCAAGGAAACAGGAAATGATGTCCCAGAAGAGTTCAAAGTTGAGGATAATCAACCATTGGATGGTTCCAATGAACCAGCCGCTCAATCCAAAGACCATTACTCGGATGATGGCTACCTGGACCCACCTGCAAACAACCTGGACACTGATAGGAGCATGTCTGACAAAGCCGACGAAGAAGTCGGCCATGATGCTAATGCTTATGATGAAGATGGTGAAGCAGACACTCGTATCAATAACAAAAATATCATTGATGATAATAATGAACAAGCTGTCTACAATGGTGATAATGGGGGTGATACAAAGGCAGAGCAGACGGACGATAATGACGAGAAGGATCAAGGATTCGATGATGACTACGATGACTATTCATATGAAGACAAAGAGGATAATGATATATTAGGTAAGGAAAGTGTTTACAATTATTGTTTAATGAATGAAACTTTAGTGTGTAACATACAACATCGTGAGCTTACCCATGCCAATTAATGTTTTCAGACTACAATTAGTGAGTGTAAACATTGCAAAGACAGTTTGCAGAATAGTTTTAAGGTTTGACAAACTGTTGGTCATAGAATTAGATACTCCTCAAATCATGAATACACAATGCTATTCAGAAAGTGGTCAAATGTGACATATGTTATATTTGGTATTACACTTTTTTGGTCAGGGTTCGAAATACCCCATATACTTGTGTGCCATGGCACGGTAAATACAGAAATGGCACGGCTAAAAAGATTTCTCAGTGCCCTTTTCATTTAATCCCCAAAACAATTATTTTTTTCCAAATTGAATAATACCATACATATTTGAATGCTCATAAACCCATTTCTTTATTTAACAATAAATTTCAAATGATCATCATCATTGTCATTTATTCTAAAAACATGTGGGCACACTTGATTTCAGAAAGGCACACCTAAAATATTTGCCTGGTGCCCTAAGGCACACTTACAAAAAAAAGTATTTCTATCCCTGTTAGTAAAGTACCGATTCTAGTACTTTTGATGGGTTGAGTCCCATCTGGGATTCGAACCCACACCCTCAGAGTCAGGCACCTAATTGCCAGCACACAAAGTCAGACAGCCTAACCCGCTCAGTCACTGTGGCTTCCACAGGTTAGGCGGCTGACTTTAGGGTCCAGAGGCTCCCGGATAGGACTCAACCCAACAAAAGTACTAATCTGTACTTTACTAAGAAAGTGTAATCACAAATATAACATATGTTACATCTCAAATCATGTCGATAATGTATGATTTGTCTTACATCTGCTACAAAATGGTGTTTGCATTTCTAAGGAATTAAGAGGAACTAAGTAAGAACAACACGTTTGATAGGAAAAGACCAGTTGAAAACAACCTGTCCCTTACTTGTTTGAGTGGCATTTTAGAAGTTGAGACTTACAATATACAACAAATTTTATGGATATCAACCTGTCCCTTGTGTTGATGATGTGATGGTAAGACATTTAACACTGCTAACCTTGGCAGCTGTGGTGATTGTAAGACATTTATAACTGCTTTTCTTGATAGTAGTGGTGATTGGAACATGTTTAACATTGCTCTTCTTGGTTTAAACAAATTTTATTCAGATCAGATAAAAAGGATTGACAAGCAAACCTAAATGGCTTATATTAATTTTTAGGGCTGGGACGATATATTTTTTATTTTTATCAAGATTTTTATGGCAAGATTATATTAATGCGGCAAACATAATACATACTTAACGGTTCACATTTATGCGTAATGTTGTACATAATAATTATAACAAGTTGTAAAAATAAGAACAAGTTATTTCTGAATGATAACTATCTAACTTACTATCAACAAATTACCTTAGTTTTGTTTCGTGGTCAGTTGATACAAATAAGAAACTACAAAACTTTTATGAATCAGATCGTTTTGATGTAATAATGAATCGATGGAGTGACTGTAGAATATCCATGTTCGTCTGATACGATACTGAGTTATCACCATTTAAGATGTCCCGCAGGGAGAAACCTTTCACATAGATATATGATTCGTATCGAATGCTATTATAGTTAGGACACATAAAGAAATAGTGGAATATATCATCACAATCATGTGAACAGGAACAAAAAATATTGAAATGAAATGATTATATTTCTCAATGTTAAGTCACTACATCCCAGTCTAAGATGACAGTACTCTTCTTGACAGTGGTGTTATTGCAAGACAGGTTGTTTAACACTGCTTCTCTTGATACCAGTGGTGATTGCAAGTCGTTGTTTAACATGTTTAACACTGCTTCTCTTGATACCAGTGGTGATTGCAAGTCGTTGTTTAACATGTTTAACACTGCTTCTCTTGATACTAGTGGTGATTGCAAGTCATTGTTTAACATGTTTAACACTGCTTAATTTGGCACAAGCAATGACAGCAACATATTTATCACTACTTATCTTGTCACCAAAAGGTCAAGAGGAAACTAAATCAACTTCAACGTCCTCAACACCAACAAAAGATGACTGGTACGGAGTCAGCAAGGAAGAAGGTATGTACTAGGAATGTTAAAACTTTATTAATTTCATATTTGCTAGCTTATATTGATGTTCGGCTTTTATTGATTAGCTGTTGCTGTAAGAAATACCAGTAAGCAATCATTTATACTTTGGTTCCCAACCTCACTAAAATTGTTCACTGAACATATCATGAAAAAATGAGTTTAATTTTTTAAAATTATTTTGACTCCTGATTTCACAATTTTTTGTTTAAATGACATAAAATAATCCCAGCCCATCCCAAAATTTTAGGCCCCAAGTAAATGCTGTGAATTATTTTGGCTCCTAGTTTCACAATGTTTTGTCGTAAACAGTGCCATTAAATAGTCCCAGACAATCATAGATATTAATTGTTGGTAGGTCCTCACAAGTAAATGTGATTTTCTTTGGGACAAGCACATTTGGCCCAAAACTTCTACTACTTTCAGGATAAAATGGACCATGTTTATGAAAGCCCCCAATGCTCCTCACATACCAGTTAGACAGATTCTGTTGCTGGCCATGTTCACATTGGTCCTAACATTTGTATATTTCAAAATTTCAAGATATTTTTTTATAAAAATGTGTATTTTTTTATTGAGAGTAAATGTGTGAAATATTGGTTCATTTGTCCCATTTGTTATAATAGAGCCTCAAGTGTTTGAACTATTAATCGGCCCACATAACTTATCCTGAAGTCAGGGCTAAGGAGTGTGAGAACAATTCATCAGGTTAAAAAGCTGTTTTATTCTGCTGTCCTTTATTCGTGGACTCCATGAATTATATCCTGATTATTCAGGATGGTGCAGGTACAAGAAGGAAGGGAATCTTGGTGTACTGGGAAGCATCATGTCTCATACATGCAATATGATCTCCCTTCTACTCATGAAACTGGGTATACCTAATAATAATGGATTTGTATAGTGCCTAGTTTCCACCATAAAGTGCTCAGCAGTGCTGAAATCACAATCTGATTATCATCATTATGATTACACAATGCCAATTAGAAAGTGGTCAGATGTAACATATTTTATGTTTGGGATTACTCTCTTGGTAAAGTACAGATTATTATTACCCCGGATAACCCAAGCTGCCTGTAGGGCACTTGAAGGTTAATGATCACATGGCTTATCCCACCTGGTACCCATTTTCTGCTGGGTGAACAGAGGCAATTTTGAACAAACTCATTTGCCTAAGGTGAGACCACACGTATCACATGTGCTTCATTGTTGGGCAGGACTGAAGTCCTAGAAACTCCTAGTGTGGTGGAAGATGTCATAACTGACTGCCATCATGGTCAATATCTAAAATACATCACTCTTGGCTTATGTTTTGGATGTGCTGTTGTTGCTTATTCCAGTGTAGGTTTGGACCCAAGTAGCCTTTGGTCATCACACAAGGTGACCTAATGGATCTGATGGTCTGGTGATTTGGTTGATTGCAAATGATTGTACCAATATCAGTCAGGGGCAGTGGGGTAGCGAGGTGGTTAAAGCGTTTGCTTGTCATGGTTTGATTCCCTTCATGGGTAACAATATGTGAAGCTCATTTCTGATGTCCCCCACTGTGATATTGCTGAAATGTGGCTAAAAGCAGTGTAAAACCATGCCCTCTCACTTACAACATCAAGCCCTGGGTTGTCTGGTCCAGATTCAGTTATTTAATGGCTGCCAACATGTAGCTGGACTTGTTTTGATTTTGTGGCAAATGACAATCAAACAACTCGAATTTACTCTTTCACTGTATGATAATATTACATCTCTATATTGTAACATTTCCTATTTCCGTAATATTCAAGAGCATGGACAAACCATTGTAACTGTTTACTTTGAAGTTAACTCAGCATTTACATGATACATGTGGTCAGTTTACAAGTACATTCTTCATGTCTATTGTAAGGGATCTTTTGAACATATACTCTGGAGAAGAAACAGCAATAAAATTGCATGATTTTAAAATAAATAATTAATGAATAAGCTGATAAATAATCAAAACTGGATTTATACTCAATTTTAATTATAGGTCATTAAAAAAAGGAATCTAGATTGCCATAGGTACATTAAAAGCTTCACTAAAGGGAGAAGGCACCATAATACAATATGCTTTAAAAAGGTGGTGATGTGTGAAGCCCATTTCTGGAGTCCCCTGTCGTGATATTGCTGGAATATTGTTAAAAGCGGCATAACAACCTCACTCACTCACTCACTCACTCACTCACTCACTCACTCACTCACTCACTCACTCACTCACTCACTCACTCACTCACTCACTCACTCACTCACTCACTCACTCACTCACTCACTCACTCACTCACTCACTCACTCACTCAAGTGGTAGAGATGTGAAAATGATAAAATATATATTCGTTGTCTTCAATTCATTTTCACACTTTTCATTGGAACCGTTTTTCTTTGATCTGTGGCTATCTGTCACCCTTTCATGATATGCCGGACATATTGCAAAAAAATGTCAAAGACTCCACTCATTCTCTCTCTGGGATTTCACCGTAAGTCAGCTGCAGAGGTTGTAAATAAGTGTGTAAGTGAGTGAGTGAGTATAGTATCACTGCAAGGGACATCAGACATGGGCTTCACACGTTGTAGTTTTGTGGGGAATCGAACCCAGGTCTTCAGCGTGACAAGCGAAAGCTTTAACCACTAGGCTACCCCACCACCCCTTGTAAATAAGGGTTCCATTGATTAGAAAAAGTAGAATCTATATATATCAACTGAAAGTTTGATGAGATATCGATCAGTACATTCACATGACGGTGTACAGAAACATCTGTGGTTGCAAGGATGAAGCATGGTAAAGGACAGTGTCAGTATTTCACAGCCAGACCATAGAAACAAAATGACCCACCATTTGTGAGAAATATGGGTGTCCTGATATTTCTGACACCTTGACTATCACTCTCCCAGGCAAAGGGCCGTTTGACCTGAAAGTAATTCCACCAATGGGGAGCAGTCAGTCCAGGCCTACACAGTGTGGCTCACTGCTCGTTTCACTAGAGTTCCTCTGTCACTGAACAGCAGGGGAGTCATCCTTGAATGTCTCTCAGTACCAGCTTGAACATGTTGAATAGTGATAACAAAATCCAGAAACTGTTTACAACCCCCAAAGGCTCACTTTATACCCTGTCTACCATCTGTAATAGGTTACTGAATCCTTTATTCTCTACAGGTTGCCTTAAAATATACTGAATGCCTTAATCTATCCTGGATCCTTTAATCTCTACTGGTTGCCTTATATATACTGGATGCTTTGATGTATACTGAATGCCTTAATCAGTCTTGGTCAAAACTTGAATATGTATTATTACTTGATTAATATGGGACAACAAATTGTCCATCAATATTTAATAGCCATAAGACTAATCCTTCCTCTCATAAAATTTCTTAAGAACCTGTCTGAGCAAGTGTTAATTCGCATTCATTATTACTAAACAAACATGGGTGATGTATTCGTCAAGTCTTGCTTGTGTGTGATAAGTCATATATACACCACTCTGTTGTTCACTGTCTATGATATTCTATTTATACAACACAGATTTTGTCAAGGCCAGATGTGGCCTTTTGTTGATGTCTTCAATATGTGTACCTAACTGACCTTTGAGATTTGTATGCTAGGTCATCATGGCCTGTTCCAGTCAACATCCCTAAGCATGTTATTGCAATCGTACTATATTATCCAGGGTTTTATGCAATCTGCACATGTGCATCCAGTACACACAAATGTAGAGAAAGGATACATTGTACCCACAACACAGCTATGACTTTGCAAAGTGTTTGGTAGTTTCATTCAGAAGAGTGATGTGCATCATTTCATCCACCAGTCTAGGGTGGGGCGGGTGTATTTTGTTGTTGTTGTGTGTCAAGCTTGTCAGCATGATACCTCAAGAACCATTTACTGGATTTTCTACATGGATTTTCGAGACTTCTCTTGAATGTTTTTTGATAAGCATTTTTTTATTACTATTTTTGCATATTCCATACACTATGACGTTCATGTCAAGGTCAAAAGTGAGTCTTGAAAATATTTGTGCGTTTGAACAACTACAGAGCAAGATATTAAGAGAGGTTGACTGGTCATGTTTTTGTTGACATTTAACTTCATCTTAAACTATGACCTTCACTTTCATTACTTTTTAAGGTTGATTTGATAATTTGCGGCGGGGATTATGTCACCTTAGTGACAATGCTTGTTATCCACTGACATTATATGGGATAATCTTTCATTGTTTAATACAGTCAGTTCTAACATGTCTAGTGAGTATATGTAAGTAAAACTACTGTGATAGTAAAATTATTGTGATAGTAACTGACAGCTTAGTCCTGAAGGACCCTGAAGCAAATATATCCAAGAAAGCCCACGCAAGTCTAGAAAATGTGGCAAGTCTAGATTTCCTCAGCTTCTGAAAATGAAGAAAGTCTCAGGGCTCCTTTTCATTATATATTTTATTTTTTTTACTATGAACTTTTTTCAGTAAAATATGTTCATTTCAGAGACTAGTTGTTAGTCTACTGACAGCTGTGTGGGTGGACAATTGGAATAGGCCTTGTTACTATGGTTACTGAAACAAAACAGACCTATATCCAGCATTTGTTGTATTTGTGACAGCATGTTTGACTTGGAACATTTAATACAGAGCTGTCATACAGTAGCAGCCATGTTTATGCTTGTGAACACTGGGTTCTAAAGAAACCAGATTAGGAGAAGAATGCAGTTTGTAACATGATGCTGGTTTGCACTCTGTGAGCGAGTCAGTGTGTTCCTGTGAGCAGCGTAGCATGACTACAGATAGGAAACGAGACCACACTTGAAGGTTTTAGCTGATCTCAACTTCTCTCTGTCAGCCTTAGTGAGCAATTTGACACAATTGTTTTAGGACCGCTACAAGGAAAATCAGGCATGGTGACCCATTCCAACCCAAATCCAGATACTCTATACTCTATGGTTGACAACATTACAAAGTTTCAGCATAGACTCTCATACCATGGCGCTGCTTGACAACGGTATAAAGATTCAATGGTATAAGGATCTAACTTTGAATCAGAATAGAATATAGAAGACTAGAATAAAAATCACAAATCCACAGGGGCTTGTAACGCTAAAAACTGCCATCAAGGCATATACTGTCACTGACGGGGTCTTAGTACTATATCCTTTTATATAGTACTAAGACCCCGTCAGTGACAGTATATGCCTTGATGGCAGTTTTTAGCGTTACAAGCCCCTGTGCACAAATCATCCACAGAATGCCTTTCCTTGATTGTTTTTCAGCAACTTCTAAAGTGCAAATGAAACACACCATTCAACTTGATTCAAACTAAGTGACAAATGTCTGTTTGAAATAATTGCTGTGCTTCAATAAAACAATCAAAAACCTCTTGAAACCTGTTTTATCTAAAACCGCAACAAAAATGTCCCTTTCAAAGAGATCCATGTGGCCATCTGGTTAAAGTGTTCATTTGTCCCACTCTAGTCTGGGTTCATTTCCCTCATGGGTACAGTGTGTGAGAGAGTTTTAGGGTGAACCCTGCACTGACTTTGCCAGAAAATTGCCACCAGATGGGTACAGTTCTATATTCTTTACAGGGTCATATTGGAAGGAGCTAAATGAATTACTGTTAGGAAAGTAGTACATCATAATCAGAATGTCGGAAGTAGAAAGTCACAGACCTGTAGTTTGACTGTGTACCAGTATTTTGCGTACCAGTCGACACAAACAGATTTCTCACCATCAGATGTTGAATAGTGGGTAAATGAGTTTATTCTGCTTTTAGCAATATTCCAGCAATATCATGGGGTTTGGGTGAAGATGACACCAGAAATGGGCTTCACACATTGTACAAATGTGGGGAATCGAACCGATCTTCGGCATCATGAGCAAACACTTTAACCACTAGGCTTCTCCACTGCCCCTGGTGTTGAATAAGTTTCTACAGCTTATTAACCCTTCTCACTAGTCTTTGAGCAGCGGGGCGGTGGGGTAGCCTAATGGTTAAAGCATTGGCTCGTCATGCCAAAGACCTGGGTTCGATTCCCCACATGGGTACAATGTGTGAAGCCCATTTCTGGTGTCCCCCGCCGTGATGTTGCTGGAATATTGCTAAAAGCGGCGTAAAACCAAACTCATTCAGTCAGTCTTTGAGCAGCGTCATGCCTAGAATGAGATAAGAGGTTCTTGTGAGCCTGTACAGGGGATTGATGTAGTTATAGTCAACCCACTGATGTGAAAGCTGTTCGCTGAGGCCATTGTCTCACACTAATGTTGTAGATGGTGATGATGATGGTGTCGATGGTGTTTTGGATAAAGAAGATGAAGACTACAGTGACCCTGACATTGACCAGGAACTGGAGTTTCAGCAGACACATCAGAAGAGGCCTCACATTGACAGCAAAGGGGAAGGTAGGTATTGAAGAATATGTATGGTAATTCATGTGTCCTTTGAGAGACAGATGGGTGAGGTCAAGATGGGAAGGGTACTTACCAATGGAGTTCAAGCAAACTAAAAAGAGGCAGCATAAAAGGAATGACAGAGGTATATATATCATTAATGTTCCTGCAGACAGGTTGAGGAGGTAGACAGAGGGCAGTCAAGAAGGTAGGTGTCATATACATCACTGATAGTTCCCCAGACAGATGTTCTAGGGAAAGGTAGGCGTCAATCATAACAGTGGGGTTCCAACAGACACAGCAGGAAGCCTCAGATGTCCCAGGGAAAGGTAGGTGTCATACATAACACTAGAGTTCCAACAGACACAACAGGAAGTCTCAGACAGATGTCCTAGGGAAAGGTAGGCGTCATACATATTAGTAGGGCTCCAACAAGCACATCAAGAATCCTCAGACAGATGTCCTAGAGGAAGGTAGGTATCACGTTTATCAATGGGGTTCCACCAGACACAACAGAAAGCCTCAGGCAGATGTCCTAGGGGAAGGTAGGTGTCCTACATATCAGAGGGGTTCCACCAGACACAACAGAAAGCCTCAGACAGATGTCCTAGATGAAGGTAGGTGTCCTACATATCAGAGGGGTTCCACCAGACACAACAGGAAGCCTCAGACAGATGTCCTAGGGGAAGGTAGGTGTCCTACATATCAGAGGGGTTCCACCAGACACAACAAAAAGCCTCAGCCAGATGTCCTAGGGAAGGTAGGTGTCCTACATATCAGAGGGGTTCCACCAGACACAACAGGAAGCCTCAGACAGATGTCCTAGGGGAAGGTAGGTGTCCTACATATCAGAGGGGTTCCACCAGACACAACAGAAAACCTCAGACAGATGTCCTAGGGGAAGGTAGGTGTCCTACATATCAGAGGGGTTCCACCAGACACAACAGGAAGCCTCAGACAGATGTCCTAGGGGAAGGTAGGTGTCCTACATATCAGAGGGGTTCCACCAGACACAACAGAAAGCCTCAGACAGATGTCCTAGGGGAAGGTAGGTGTCCTACATATCAGAGGGGTTCCACCAGACACAACAGAAAGCCTCAGACAGATGTCCTAGGGGAAGGTAGGTGTCCTACATATCAGAGGGGTTCCACCAGACACAACAGGAAGCCTCAGACAGATGTCCTAGGGGAAGGTAGGTGTCCTACATATCAGAGGGGTTCCACCAGACACAACAGGAAGCCTCAGACAGATGTCCTAGATGAAGGTAGCAGAGGCATGTTTCTGAAGGCAGGCTTACTGCCAAGATGATTGTAGCATCTCTACTTTAACATTGATCAAGGATCAAGGTTGCCTTGTGGAGCCCGACTCAGATCTAGAAGTGTGCTCTATAATTTATATCTCAAGTTGTCAGACCTTTTTGGACTCTTTGAAATGAACACATGGAACATGGTAGTTCATGCATGTAATATCAATTTTCTTCTGCAGAGTTTTTCTATGAAGACATGAAGACTAACATCAAGGAGGGCATTGTAGAGAACAAGCTGCTGAAGAACAGGGTCGGCCTGAACGCCCCGTCCAGCATGGTTCTCTTCTACACCTGGATCATACTTATTGTTCTGATCGCCGTGGTTTCACTGTCTGCATTCCGGTATCGCTGCAAGGTCAGTAGTGGCAGGACGGTGGTAGTGGTGTTGTTGTTGGTGTGTGTTGTTGGTGTATGTTGTTGTTGGTGTATGTTGTTGTTGGTGTGTGTTGTTTTGTCACTGTCAACTCACTGGCTGGTAGTGAGGGATCAATCTCCAGTCACCATTTGTGCCTGTCAGCTACCCATTCACTATCCATTCACCCTATGTCTCACTCAACTATCCGTTCACCAACTGTGCCCCTAAACTACTCCCTCACTATCCATTCACCCATGCCCTATCCTACCAACCCAGTCAACCATTCCACAACCATCACAGTACCTCAGCCACGCACCCACCTATCCTCACATCCACCCCATCACCCACCCACCCACCTCACAACCATCCTATCACCCACCCACCCACCCCTCACATCCACCCTATCACCCACCCACCCTCATCCACCCCTATCACCCACCCACGCCACATCCACCCTATCACCCACCTACCTACCTCACATCCACCCTATCACCCACCCTCACATCCACCTCCACCCACCTATCACCACCCCACCCACCCATCACATCCATCCTATCACCCACCCACACCTATCCTCTCACATCCACCCTATCACCCTCCCACCCTCACATCCACCCTATCACCCACCTACCTACCCTCACATCCACCCTATCATCCACCCCTACACTCACATCCACCCTATCACCCACCCACCCTCACAACCATCCTATCACCCACCTACCCACCCTCACATCCACCCCTATCACCACCCTCACCTCCATCCACCCTATCACCCACCCACACCACATCCACCCTATCCCCACCTACACCTACCCTCACATCCACCTATCCCCACCCATCCACCCTATCACCCATCCACCCTCCATCCATCCTATCACCCACCACCACCCACCCTCACATCCATCCTATCACCCACCTACCTACCCTCACATCCATCCACCCACACTCACATCCACCCTATCACCCACCCACCCTCACATCCACCCTATCACCCACCTACCTACCCTCACATCCACCCTATCATCCACCACACACTCACATCCACCCTATCACCCACCCACCCTCACATCCACCCTATCACCCACCCACCCTCACATCCACCCTATCACCCACCTACCTATCCTCACATCCACCCTATCACCCACCCTCCCTCACATCCACCCTATCACCCACATACCTACCCTCACATCCACCCTATCACCCACCCTCCCTCACATCCACCCTATCACCCATCCACCCTATCACCCACCCTATCATCCACCTATCTACCCACTGATACACCATATCACCCACCTATCTACCCTCACATCCACCATATCACCCACCTATTTACCCTCACATCCACCCTATCACCCACCTATTTACCCTCACATCCACCATATCACCCACCTAGTTACCCTCTCATCCACCCATTCACCCACTCACATATCCTCACATATACCTACAATCACATCCTCCCACTCACCCACCTACCCACCTACACTCACATCCACCCACTCATCCATCCACCCACCCACCTACCTACCTACTCATCCACCCACCTACCTACCCACTCATCCACCCATCTACCTACCCTCACATCCACCCACTCATCCACCCACTAGGTCCATGTTACCCTCTCACTCGACAACTCAACATCTCGAGCTGCCTTCACACTTCAGAGCATTTCTAAGTGAGCATTCACAGCCAACTATTGACATTGTGGGATCAATCAGACCAGCTGTGCTGCTTACTCTGTGTTGAAAGTTTATCCAAGTGGCTGGAATATCAATGAACATTGTGCTATGATGAGCTCATTATTGATCATATTGACTGGGTGACGCGTGGTTCTTTGTTGCCAGTATCACTGAGTAAATGGCTGTTACATACAACCAGAATTTTATGTATAAACATGTTAAACTGCAGTCTCGGTTGATCTTACCATTGTCAGTGATATTTGATTCATTTATTGCTTTGATGTAACATTAAACACACAATTTCAGCTTTGTAATAACCAGTATTTGAAATACCTGCCTCTTTAACTGCCCGGGATGGCATTTAGATAATATAGACAAGGTCTTTGTGTTGATTTTAAGCTGTATAAGTGAATTACTTGTATGAAAATTCATTTAAAATCTGAGTTTGCAACTTTGTAACCAGACAGGGAACATATTCAATTTCCCAGTCCAACTTCCTTTTGAGTGTTTGTGAATATTCAACTCTGATATATTCCGTGTTCTAATGTTGTTCTTCAGTCTAGGTCTGTATATTTGTGTTGTATTGGAACCAAGATGCTGCCTCTGCAATACCTCACTACTTAATGGATGGTGGGTAGCCTAGTGGTTAAAGCGTTTGCTTGTCAAGCTGAAGGCCCAGGTTCAATTCCCTACATGGGTGCAATGTTTGAAGCCCATTTTCTGGTGTCTCCTGCCATGATATTGCTGGAATATTGCTAAAAGCAGCGTAAAACCATACTCACTCACTTATTTTGACATATAATGAATGCTCATAAACATAGGGTTAATTGCAAGAATAAAGGTGAAATGTAACATTCATCTTTGACATATTGGCATATTGTACCAGTTGAATGGCATCCAGGACACAGCACCACTGGAATACCAATAAACATGGCTTCGCATGCTGAGAACCTAAAGAGTATTGTTTGTTTGAGTGGCATTTTCGAAGTTGGAAAGTGGAATATTGACAAACTTTATGGATAACAACTTCTTTTATTTCGTGAGTGTGACGTTTTGATACAGATTCATGGTCTGTTGTGAAGACCCGTGAAGATCCAGGTTAGAATTGATCTTCAGTAACCCATGCTTGTCGTAAGAGGCGACTAACGGGACCGGGTGGTCAGGCTCGCTGACTTGGTTGACACATGTCATCGGTTACCAATTTGCGCAGATCAATGCTCATGCTGTTGATCACTGGACTGTCTGGTCCAGACTCGATTATTTACAGACCGCCGCCATATAGCTGGAATATTGCTGAGTGCGGCGTGAAACTAAACTCACTCACTCACTGTTGTGAAGTTGTTATCCATAAAGTTTGTCGATATTAATGAGGATTGGAGCTGTGAACCACGTCACACATTGTTATGACAGGATGACGGCAGTGAGAGATGACTTTCATCTAAATACACCTCCCTGTAACAAGCATTGTAACAGCATTAACTTTTTTTTGTTCTTTATTTTACAGGGGTTGTTCATGAATGGACCAAGAAACTTCAGGAATGGTAACCATGGCAACTACAGACCTGGAGAAGAAAACAAAAGGCTGCTCGAAAATGTGTACACATAATATGTTGTTCATATGGTCTCCACATTGTGTTCAGTTGTTAGGAAGGTAGACTATGTTGAGGAGCATTAATACACAGTTCTATGCATCATGTTAATACTTGTGAATATGGAATACAATAGAATGTTTTTCCTTTTTTTAAAAAGAACAAACTTCTTATAATTTTGCTGTTGACAAAGGGACAGCTGTATGTCTGAAAACAAACTGTTAATTTTCTTGTTTTTATGTTTAATTTTTGTTCTGTGAAGAATTCAAACTAAAGAGGCTGACATCTTCATGGGGCTTGTCCAGCACCTGATGTAACTGATAGCTTCTCAGGTGGGAACTTACATAGGCAGGAGGGTTTTCTACAACGAAATTCTTTATCTGTGGTAAGCTGATCAGTCAGTTCTGGTAAATAGTTTGTGCTGTAAATACATGACAGGAGATAGTACTTCAATATGTTTAGACCAAACATGCAAAGATGAATGTGTATATAAATTTCCTAGTTTAGGTATTCATATTTGATCTTTCCTTCTGATCCTGTCACGGTTATCACGATTATCGCGTTTATTGTGTTTATATGGGATCGTTTACATCAAAGACCCCCTGAACTTACTACTTAAGCCTCACACATTAGTTTAGTGTGTTGTGCTCAGTACGGACTCAGTTGATGTTTGTGACTTGTGTTGAAGAGGAAACAGTTTTACATGTTTAAATTAGGTTTTTCATTAAGATCAATTTTGAGAATTATTTTGACTTACTTCAGTATTTCCTGAAACGTTTTTCAATCAGTATTTTCTTTAAATGTATTAGAGTCTGATATGGCTAAAATGCTGTTCAGTGAAGAGTATCAAGGTTTTATTTTTTTATTTTATTTTTTTTATTCATTTCAATTATATTCATTGTCAAGTTGTATTCCCTCTGCAGTGTGTTTCATATACCCAGTAATTATTTTCGATAGGTATTGCCTTTTAACAGTGTTTCAGGCAATTATTTTCTGTATGTATTAATTACATCACGTTTCCTGGAAACATTTTCAGTAAGTATTGCCGTTCCAAATGTTTCATGAAATTAATTTTAATTAAGACTGAATTTGTACATAGCGTCATGAATATAGTTTGTATTAACATTGATTTTCTATAGTGTTTCATGAAAATATTTGTATTGAGTACTGACTTTCTGCAGTATGTCTTGTCATGTTTCTCATGATCTATGCTCTAAACAATCTTAAAGCCTTCAAATTATTTTTGTTGAATCCAAAGGAGGAACATTTTATAACAAGTTTCAGCTTAACTGTGATATTGAATTGAGATGTTGGGGGCTGTGTCAAAATACATTTCCTTGACTGAAGTGTGAAAGACTCACAGTGGACAGTTTGACAGTTTGCAGGTAATCAGCTGATGTTCTGAACATTACCCCAAGACAGTGTAGAGCAGAGAGATACTGGAAGTGGGGCAAATTCAAAGTTTGTATTTTGATACAGTCCCCAAAGTTGGGAATAGATGTTTAGTGCTACCTTTTGTATAAATATGTGCTTCATTGGTAACCATGGCAATTGATGATAGATATGGTTGACAAGATCTTTTTAAAGACAAGTAATGTTGTGTAAGTATGACCTAAAACCACAAGGCAGTGATCCAACAGCAAAGGACAGTGATCTAACATCACATAACAATGATCTAACACCACATAACAATGATCTAACACCACATAACAATGATCTAACACCACATAACAATGATCTAACTCCACATAACAATGATCTAACTCCACATAACAATGATCTAACACCACATAACAATGATCTAACACCACATAACTATGATCTAACATCACTTAACAATGATCTAACACCACATAACAATGATCTAACACCACATAACAGTGATCTAGCATCACTTAACAGTGATCTAACACCACATAACAATGATCTAACACCACATAACAGTGATCTAGCATCACTTAACAGTGATCTAACATCACATAACAATGATCTAACATCACTTAACAATGATCTAACACCACATGGTATTCTGATGACTTGCATTAGCTTGGTTGATTAATGTTTAAAGTGGGAATGGCTACCTAAACAGGCACAGGGTGAAGTGTGTGTTGTAGCAATGTATAGAGTGTTGTATACCCCGTATAACCTGTACTTAGATATCTACTTTTGTGGGGATGTCATTTTAACATGGTGCTAACATTTTATGCAAATTTATTTGTATTGTGAGGTAATATATGTGGGTTTGTTGATTATTTTCTATCTCACAACAAGTATTAATAGCATCATAGCTGCATGATCACACACTGGCATTACAATCATTGAGATGCAATTACATGTGACATTGAGTTGCAGTCACATGTGACATTTTCTTGTGGTCACATGTGACATTGAGTTGCTGTTGCATGTGACAGTGAGTTGCAGTCACATATGTGACATTGAGTTGCAGTCACATATGTGACATTGAAATGCATTCATACATGTGACAGTGAGTTGCAGTCACATATGTGACATTGAAATGCATTCATACATGTGACAGTGAGTTGCAGTCACATGTGTGACATTGAGTTGCAGTCACATGTGACATTAAGATGCATTCATACATGTGACAGTGAGTTGCAGTCACACGTGAGTTGCAGTCGAATGTGACATTGAGTTGCAGTCACATGTGACGTTGAGATGCAGTCACACATGTGACAGTGAGTTGCAGTCACATGTGAGTTGCAGTCATGTGATAGTGACTGCAGGAAGGCAACCGATCTCACTTGCAGTCACGCCCACCATCATCCGCAGCGTCTATCAATGTGGGGCGGTGGGGTAGCCTAGTTGTTAAAGCGTTGGCTCGTCACGCTGAAGACCTGGGTTCGATTCTCCACATGGGTACAATGTGTGAAGCTCATTTCTGGTGTACCCCGCCATGATATTGCTGGAATATTGCTAAAAGCGGCGTAAAACCATACTCACTCACTCACTCTATCAGTGTAAACTCATTCTCTCAGACTCTGTTATGATTGCCTCATCACCCGAAGACCGGGTTCAATCCCACCTATTTTAAACATATTGAACAATTTGCACTGTTACCTTTGCATGCTTCATCCTAGAATTTACATCCCTAATCTGCCAAGACTTCCCCCCCATGGCCTGTCAGCAGCGTATTAGGTTGTGTTTTCACCCAAGTGGTATACTTGAAGACTGGCACCACTTTTGGATTTTGTGTGACAAAATTTGGACATGATGTGATGCAACTATATAGTATTCCAAGTGGCCTTATACCTTGATGTTCATCAACATATGGGTGTTCTCAAGTGTTCTTACCAGGTAGGATGTAATGTGTCAGTATTTTGCATAATCTCAGCAGCCAAGCCAGGGCAATAGTAATGGTGGCTGATGTCATTATGTACGAAAGCCCGAATCATGTGGGGCTGATGTTTGCCCTGTGACTTCCTAAACGACTTGACTTTGGGTCAGACCTGGGACCTCTCAAATTTGGGGGTCATATATTTTTCATCATATCATTTCAAGAACTTTTAAAAGAAGATCAAATTTTATGTGTGCTGTGCAATTTTCTTTTCTTTTATTAATGTCCCATCACCTAAGTATATTGTTTCCTTGATAAATGTGTGTTTTGCTATGCTACCATATCAACAGTGTTATGTTGTCAAATAATTTTTCAAATGTTCTAAGTCTCGTAACATTTCAAACATGGCATGAGTGCAAATACTGAGCTGTCTGTTTCAAACCTTTTTAAGGCATTTTTCACCCATTTTGACAAAGGTTATATTCATAGAGACAACTTATATTTTTCGTGTAAAACTAACATTTGTAGGGGAATGATAATTGATTTTGTAGCCATACTTCATTGTATCTCGATAGCTTTTTAAGATGTTTGTTGGGATTGTACCTCATTGTATGGTGAAGCTGTCACCTGGGCCACACATGTATCCCGAGGGGAGATACAGGGCCATATCCCCGGTCCAAGCAGGATGTGACAGATGTTTGATACGGATGGTGCTTACTGATATATACAATCAAGGCTCCCAGTCAGTGGATGTGTTTTGTCTCAGTGTCATGTGCTTTGCTGAGCATGAAGAGTTTCAAGTTCAATGGCAGTTAGATTTTCTGTTTAGCTTACATTTTGTTTTTATGATCAAACAAATGATTTGGTTTTCAGAGGAGCCCACTTTAAATTCATTTTAAGAAAAAAGTAAAAATGGTTTTAATTAATGACAAATGCCCTTTTTACCATTTTTGATATCGACCCTCCTGATGAGGTTACTGTGCTAAGTCAGATGCTTTCAAGTTGGGAGACAACAATGTATATAAATGTTAACTTTTGATTATTGTATCCTATTCATACAACATATCCATTCAGTCTGTTAGAGTTGTCTCCCTCCCAAACTCTCAGAATGTCCCTACCAGATATGTGCAGTATATTTTCCTTACTCCAGCTTTTGACTGAGTGTGAGTCCTGAATCATTGAAGTATCATCTTCTCACACAATGACCTAGGTTTGATTCCCAAGTGATAGTGTTCCCTGCTGAAATGTTGCTGAAATGTTGCTGACAACTGCATAAAAGTCACATCCTTATCCTATATGCTCAGACAGGAATACTCCTAGTCTGTCTCACGGTCCCTGAACCACATTATTTTCCCTACTGCCAGCCCTCCCTGCAATGCTGAAGCCCTAACTTAAGCAAGTCTAGATTTCCACAGGTCCTGAATCTCCCATCTCACTGGGGCTCTTTTTCAATTTAAATAGGTCTATTGGTACTATCAAAATTGTATATATTCAGGGACTAAGCGTTAGTCAAGAATACTCATTCTAATACCAACTGGTCAAACCTTGTTCATACAAGTTATATCTCTAATATTAACAATATTGTACAGCTGTTTTCTTATTGAGATGTTATTTTGATATTCTCAGCATTGCTCATATTTCACAGCAGTGAATACTACAAATGAAGACTTGGCAACATGTTGTCCTTCGCTTGCAGGTGTATTGATTTATTTGTGACCTGTCTCTTACTATATCATCTTTCGTGTCTACTTATTCTCTGGAAGAGTGTCTACAAATGGCCTATAAAGAGAAAATGTACACAGTCTGTGCCAAAAAAGTTTGAGTCAGACTCAAATTTGTCATTTGTTTTAATATATTTTACAATATACGACATGACTACTCGTCATGACGTGACATGTTAAACAACACGTGATATTTTCACTTGACTACAGTTCATCGGTCAAGATATGACTTAACTATATTCATATGAAAAATTCAAGTGTTCATTAATTTCATTTGAGTAATATATTTAAATATTTTAATATATTGATGTTTATTAGCTGAGCTTTTCAGACTGAAAGAAATTTGACCTGACTTCAGACTAGTAGAAAAAGTGTAGGCGTTTAATGATCGTTCTGACTGTCTAGAAAAATACAATTATTTTTACTGTGACATTGAACTATTTTCATCTCATCGTGTTTG